GTAAATGTAGTCTTCTTTATACAGGAGACGTACAAACAAAATGAAACTTCCAATTTGTGACCAACGTATCTGTTAAAAAACAAACACTATTACTTCCTCCAAATAAAAAAAATTTTGCTTAATAATCACTTCTTTCTCTTTTTCTAAGGCTTGAAGAGAGGAGAGCTATTCATGTGGGACCCTTCATGGGCTATAACCCAGTCTCTTTATGAGGCTTAGGGAGTGGAGATCGAATGATTTGGAAACAATGACACTATACAGTGTAACACAATCCCTTTACAAGGGTTGGAAAGTGGAAAACTGATCATTTGGAACCCTGGCTGCTACACAACTAAGTCTCTTTATGAGGCTTGGAAAGTAGAACTGATCATTTAGAACTACAGAACCAAGTCCCTTTGAGGCTTGGAAAGTAGAATTGATCATTTGGAACTACAGAAGCAAGTCTCTTTATGAGGCTTTGGAAGTAGAGGTCTATCATTTGGAACCCTCGCTGGTACAGAAGCAAGTCTCTTTATGAGGAAACTGAAGAGCTGTTCGTTTGGGACCTTTGATGCTCCCGAACCAAGTCTCGTTATGAGGCTTGGTGAGTAGAGGACTGATCAATTGGGACTGACGTTTTTAGAGGTCTCTTTGCAAGGCTTGAGAAGTGGAGAGCTGATCACTTTGAACCCTCAATGCGTAAGAACGAGGTTTGTTTATGGGTTTTGGAAAGAGAAAAGCACTGATCATTTAAACCCACAATGATTCAGCAAATCTTGAGACTTAAAAGGAATTTTCATTGCCTAGATTTTAACTCAAAATTTTACAGAATTAGGAACCAAGCCAACAGGTAGACAACCATGTTACCTTATACTTGTTGAGTTAATTAAATACCCGAAAACAATTAATATTGCATTACAATAATTTTCGTTGGATAAGTGGGTTGTCTTTTAATCTTAAGTTTTATATTCCTTGTTCTATAATTTTAATTCAACAAAATTATATAATTGACCTAATACTTTTAAAATAGTTTTGATTTTATCCAAGTCAAAAACTCCAAACAATAATCATTCAAAAAACATAATCAACACAACATCATTTACAAGGTAGGTTCTGCGGATAAAATCCTGGAGAGACATTATTTATGAACTACCAAGCTATAAGGAAAGAGGTGGTAAACTATATATACAGAAAAAAAAGTGGAAATACTAGATTCAGAACAAAACAGAACAAGAAAAAGAAAAGACTAATAATATATATATTAACATTGCAATATATAAATATATAGATAGGGTACAGTACAACTAACCATTCTATAAATGATTAAAGAAATATATGACAACGAATTACAAATTTCTTCACAAAACAATCATAATTCAAGTGCTGTTGCAAATTCAAAAATTTTAAATTTTAATGTATATTGATATACTAGGCTCTTGCATAGACTAGTTGTTAATATGTTTCCTGCTCAAAAATCACTATAATTAAAGTTACATCTATTTTGCCTGTTGACAGTAATAGGATTTAAGATGCTTTCCTTGAAGGTAGAATGAGTTTTTTTTGTGTTTTTTTTTTGCGTGGTTACTGATGATGAACTCTGCTGGGAATAAATGTATAGTTCTATCCGTGTATTAATTCTCAAAATTTATTATAATTCTGCCAATAATTTGGTCAACAGAGAATTATTAGTAGCAAATTACAGCATATTAATATTCGCAATGATACAGCCATTATCTTTTTGTCTCCTCTAGCATCAGGGTTTTCTTTTTTTTTTTTTAACAGAGTTCAAGATTTCTTAAATGAATACTGCTCAGTGTTATAAATTCTTGAAGGCTTGAATGGCAAGTATTAATATCAATACCATTAAACTTTTGGTAAACCATGTATAAAATTATGGTTTTTGAGGTAAAACCACTGGTTGGTTGTCTCAACGTTTCGGTGAGATTGCTCTGACCGTTTGCTTATGACGAAAAAATACTTTTACACATGGTGTACTGAAGGTTGAATGATTTTGTTACGGTTTAAGATTATATTCTAATTTTTTGAGACAGACACATTTCCGATATAAGTGGAATATTAAATTCAAACTTTCACCAGACAATCTGTTTCACTTGACTGTGGGCAAAACAATATTATCAAATTACCGGGACAGAATTAATACTAAATGCACAATTTATAAGATTAAATATTAATGAGGCAGGAATAATTTAAAAATCTCATATATTTATTAAATTAAAATGATTATTCTGAATAATGTATAAATTGAATATCCAATGATATAATTTCAGTTTTTATCTAGTTAGAAAACTGGTTATCAATTGATTATGGTTTTTGAGGTAAAACCACTGGTTGGTTGTCTCAACGTTTCGGTGAGATTGCTCTGACCGTTTGCTTCTGACGAAAAAATATTTTTACACATGGTGTACTGAAGGTTGAATGATTTTGTTACGGTTTAAGATTATATTCTAATTTTTTGAGACAGACACATTTCCGATATAAGTGGAATATTAAATTCAAACTTTCACCAGACAATCTGTTTCACTTGACTGTGGGCAAAACAATATTATCAAATTACCGGGACAGAATTAATACTAAATGCACAATTTATAAGATTAAATATTAATGAGGCAGGAATAATTTAAAAATCTCATATATTTATTAAATTAAAATGATTATTCTGAATAATGTATAAATTGAATATCCAATGATATAATTTCAGTTTTTATCTAGTTAGAAAACTGGTTATCAATTGTTTTAAATAAAACAATGTTAGAGAAATGTGCAGAAAATCAGAAAATAATTTTTTTTTTCAATGTGATTGTGAAGTTAATTTGTCCAAGGGGGGATGTAGACAGTGGTGCTGTAAATAAGGGGTACAGTTTTGTTCAGTTTTATTTGTGGGGTGGGATAAAATTTAAATTTTCAGGGAAGAAAGGGGAAGAGGAATGGATTAATTTAAGCTGTTTTGAGTTAGTTTAATAAGTTTTAGTTGCTCTTACAATTTCATATAGCTTGTAATCATTTGTCTTTAAGTTTGGTGTTTTAGACGCACCTTTGTTTTTTTTTTAAAGTGTGCCACTGAAGTCCAAATAAATATTATTACTATTGATATGGACACATTTTTCACGAAATAGTGAACATCATATTAAGAAATTTGTGTTACATCATCATAAGTTCCTTTAACCATAAGTGATAGAAATTCATAAACCTAGACACTCACCATTCCCATTGTCTTCAGCTGAACAAGTAAGAGAAATGAACGAAAGATGATAATTAGAAAAAAAAACCAAACAAACAAAAGGAACCAAACAAACAGACACAAGTTCAAAATAAATAACTATAGTGCAGCATATTACATATCATTGGTGATAATGATGGCAAACCTTAATACCTACACTTCTGCGTTTACAAAAAAAAACCTGTGTTGTTAGTAAGTAAATCTTTACCATGTTTAAATGTTTAAATTAGGAAAAAATCAGTTTCTTTTATTAAAATCAACTAGTTTAATGGATTTAGTATTGTTATGAAGTAGGCAGTGTAGTTTTAAATTTTTGCTATTCAAGAGTAAAGCAGGCCATACACTGTCTTTTTAGCCAATGTTTGGTTAGACTTTGCTTGAAGCCCTGTCTAGTCAATCAAACTTTATCTGACAAAAACATGCGACATGCCAAAATATGGTCAGATGACATCACATCATGACCATATATAGGCACCTCATGACTAAATATGGGCATGCAACAGTTCTTTTGTCAAATAAAATTGTATAGTCTGGCCAGGGCTTTTATAAGATATTGAAAGTCAGTGTTTGATCAGATATCTGATACTTCTGATTACCATTATTTGTCAAGTCAGATAAATATATATAATGATATATGGCCAGCTTAATAAATAAATCCGAATATACATATATAAAGAGGTTTATATACATTTATATCTAAAAGTATATAGAAGTATATATTATGTAAGATATACGAAGCAGATTGTTGATACTCAAGCCTCTTTGCATAATCTTTCTGAATATATTTCACAATATATATATACATATATATATCATCATACACCACACCAACATAATAGTATAATCAATGATCAGATAATGGCTGTAGGCTACACACTCCGGAGACGTAATATCTAAAACTTGCCATGCCTTGGTGGTAATTACATGCAACAGTCAACTCTTTGAAAGATACTTGGTTGGGAACGGAACAGTGATGTTAATGTTAGAATCTACTCGGGATGAGTGCTTGGGATTTGGAGAATAATTACTTATAATACTAAAATATAAGGGATATGTTGCAATGATCAATGTTAATATGACGATAATTACTGAAGTATTCAAAATTCTAATGCTACTACTTCACAATAATTGACAAATGTTTAGCCTAAAGGTCTTGGAATTTTAATAGGTAGCTACTGTACATTTGGTCTAACAAGTAAAACCTCATGGGTGCTATATACCATACTACAATACCATCAGTAAATCTTGCATTTGTAGAGGGCACCATATTATGAACTAATGGTCATGTAAGAATGCTTGACTAGTCGGGTAGGATATTGAGAAGTGGTTTGGTGCTGTTGGAATGGTTTGGTTTTCGGAACCTTCAGCTTGGGGGTTTCATTCCATCACTGTGCATTTTACTTGTGTCCTTGAGAAAGGCACTTTATCTGTGTTGCTTCTCTTTCACCCAGTAGTTTAAGTGGGAACCTGGTAGGGTTAGAAGGCCAAATGCGCAAATTATCAAACTGCTACCTTATGGGATGTACCTACAGGGAGCTGAGTTTGTGTTCTATAGGTGTTTATTATCCAATGACCGGGGCAATACAAAGGGGAAGCGCATATAATAGGTCTTACCATGGTACGCTATACACCATTTTCACTAAATTTGAAATTAAAATCTCCGATAGCCTGGCAACCCCCACTGGTGGACTTCCAGAGGCCTAGCATTTTACTCTACGTAGTTACCATGATGAAATAAACAATAAAACTAAATTACTAATGAGCACGAATATTTTAAAATGAAAAAAGAATGAAATGTTTATATTAAAAACAAGTCTAAGCTATTTCAGTGTTACATATACAATAATTAGCATGACCGTATGTGGTCTATTGCTGCTGTAAAGGTCAACGGCGCGAAAAGCCAGCAGCTCAGACGAGGCCGCTGGAAGTCCCCCCTCCCCCCAAAGTTGTGAGACTTTGGTGGTGCTGTTTCAAAATAATCCCAATAAAATAGTCTATCAATTTTTGTTTTTTAGTCTAGTTTAATAAGTTTTATACAATTTTATTTATGTACCTCACAGCCTTTTGTAAAAACACCCACGGGGTGAATGAGTCTCGTGAATAAATAAAGATTATTATTATATAAGTCTACTATTACTATTATTTAACATTCCAAATGTTAAATGTTCTCCCAGGAGAGCAGAAAACCTATAAGAATTTGAAATCTCTCCATCCATCACTTCGCTTTATAGGATTCATACCTATAAATAATACATCTAGAGTAAAAATTTATCATCTAATGAATAAATTTACGATGCCCTTCAATTTTGAAATGCTGTCAATATGTTAAAGTTCAAGAACATTTCTTGCAACAGCCAGAATGGTAGATTAAAAATGGGAGCAATGACTTTTCTGAATATATTTTAGCATGTAATTTGAAATGGTGATGTTAAGGCAGGGTACACTATCATCTCTCTCCGTATTACCTTGGAGGTGGTGATAAACCACTTAGGCATAAGAAATAAAATCGGTTATGTAATTGAGCAAACAAACCCTACAGATGTGGCTTAAGACTAAAAAATCTAATAAAGCAATTTACATTATCAAACAATAATAACACAGCAGATTAATGATCAAAAATTCATTAGCAGCAATAACAGATTTCAGCAGAATGAAACCATCAACACTCAAAATCATGATACGAAAAATTAGAAAAAAACAGCCCCACCTTGAAGAATAAAGATCAGCAGTACTGAAAAAACATAAGCAGCGGTAGCAAGCGAGATAATATAATTTATTAACTCTGCTCAGACGCTTAGAACCAAGATCATTACAGTTGCTGCGCTGAAAATATGACAAGCTTTAACCGAGAAAGCAAATTTTTAGCAACGAAAAAATTGGTGGCAGATTTAGAATTCGTTTTGAGCACACTTTTTGCAACCTTCTTGATCACCACTGCAACTTTGCTCAGAACCAAGACCATCAGCATTGACTATCAAGATATCTACTCTACAACAGAAAAACTAGTTATTACAAAGCTGCGATTCCAGATACGCAAGCTTAATCTAAGCAGCAGTAGCAACCTTAAGAGAAAAAGCTTACTGATCAGCACTACGGAACTAGCTTTAGCACCTACATTGAACTCGAAGCTTCAGTACACTTAGTTGGAAACTTGAAGCAAACATCCAGTAGAAAGACACATCTCTGATCTGAACGACTGCTTATACTGTCAGCTAAATGACCAAAAATACCCTCACTATTGTATTCATATGAAACACATAACACACATCCTGACTGTTAAGGCAAGGTACTTTATCTACGTTTGTCTCTTGCTACCCAGGAGTATAAATGGGTACCTGGTAGCATGTTGTGGCACTGACTGTACTTGTTTCGTGCACAGAGTACACACGCACAGCAGAGAATGTAGCACTTCGTGCTTGTTTGCCGTTAGCTAGTGACCAGGGGTAATTATAACGCTCAGCACCTTTGATCACTGATTTAGAAATGGTGCATAGATATAAATCTTTGGCATCATCATCATATTATTATTATTATTATTTAATATTCTGCATTACAGACCAATAAACAATCTATAATATTAGCTGATTGAAATATGACTGATTTTAATTTTAGTTGAATGTAGTGTGTTAATAAGCTTAATAAATTAGATATATCAACATCAAGATGGTTTTCCAACAATACCAAAAGTTTGAACTAGCCTAGATCTGCTCTATATCTTACAATATTTTAATATTATTAACCTACAGCACTAAACTATATTTTAAACATAAAGAAGCCTAAACCTGTAACTCTTAATCCCAAAATAGCAAGTTGCTTTGACTTAATGGCTTTTAATGGTTTTTCTATTTAGCATTTGCATATTATTCCTACTGATGTATCAATTGCGACGCTAACGTTTGCTCGAGTGCAACGCAAATTGCAACTTGAAAGCCTTTTACTCATTCTGCCTTCAAGCTCCATAGGTTTTGGTCACTATCTATTTTTGTACAATTCTATCTGTTAACACTTAACTGTTAAGACAATTTGACACATTTAAAAACCATGCATAGTTTAATGGTCAAAAAACATCCAATTCAATGCCCAATATAGTACTGCCCAATATAACCTAAACTTTCATATACTGAATAATTATTTGATAATTATAAATTCATCAATAAAATTATGATAATAAATTATCCTTCATTATAAATATCCATAAATTGTTTTATAAATAATTTTTAATGCCTGTCTAGTTTACTGTAGTTATATTTAGTTCCGGGGCAAGTTGTATTAGGCCTTCGTAATTTTGTAATTGATAAGTGAAAAGAATGAAAGATTCACAAAATTGTTAATATTAATGATATTCATAATTATTAATATTCATAGTTATTCCACATTAAAAATATCATCATAACTGACTTAAATTTAATTTTTAATTAAAAAAAAAATAATTGTTAACTTATAGCTAAAACTACTCATGATGAGGATGATACAATTGCCAACTGAAGATTCCTCTATAAGGAAAAATAATTTATTAAATGTATGTGAATAATATTATTTATGAGAATGGAGATCTAAGAGTAAGGTTCATTCTAATTAACACAACACGGTTACACTGGCACAATCAATAGAAGGGTCGACTAAAGGATGACTTTTCCGACTGAAGTTCATTCACATTCCACCTATACATATCTGGGGAAGGCGAGTTTCTTTTTAAAAACAACTATGTACTCTTGTCTCACAACAATTCTACTGGCTAAGGATTTGGACTGTTCTTACTCTAAATAAACTTATGCATGTAACACATGTTTAATACAACTATGGAATAATTATAGGGTTTGAGGAACACTTAAGTTACTGGAATTTCTAATGTAACAGGGAATGCATTAATAGGTAGGAGAGAAACCACGGCAAACATAAACAGTAACTTAGTGCCTCACGCGCACACACACACACACACACACACGCTTTGAAGTAGTAATAACCTTACTTGGTCTTTCATATGTTACCACATGCTTTCGAGCTTGGAAAGAAAAGAAGAAATGTAAAATAATGTACAAGGTGAGAATGAGAGCTAGAGGAGAAAAGAAGCATGTGAAAAATAAAACATATTTGTGAAACCAAAAAAAAAAGTTATTATAGCATTACAATATCATAAAAAAATGCAATAACAAATCATTGGTTGCAATATATTCAATAAGATACAGATATTTTATTTAAAATGGCAACTAAAAATTCAAAAGCACTTTATCAAATCAAAATTCAACTGTTCGAAAAATTACATAAAATGCTGCTTTATACACTTATGACTACAATTTCACAAGAAAATTATTCGGTAAGCCTGTAAATTCGCGAATTTCAATGATCAAATTATAAAATTGTGAATATCTAATCATAATTTAAACAGATTGAAACAACTTATTCTATAAATTTAAATATTTATATCTACGTAAATAAATTAATAAAAAAAAATCATCTCCTATGTAATTTTACAGACTACTGTATATGTAAGGGAAATTTATTAGGGTGTAAACTATGCATTTATGTCACATAATTTTGAACGAATGGCTTAACATAGTGATATGTCCGCATAATTAAATTTAAATTGCAACGTACTTCGCATTGTATTTAATTTATTTAGGATTTGTAATCATGGGTGCATTTAAATACAGCATATTATATGTTATATATATATGCAGCATATATATATGTGTATAGATATGAAAATGAAGAATATACAGATAATAAAAAATTAACAAATTTTGACTGTAACTAACAATTCTCAAGAGAATATCCCTAAGAAAAAGTGGAACATTCCAGACAATACAGATCAAGTTACAGCACAGTAAAGCCAGGATTAATGAGGATGTAAAAAATAGTAGAAGAATGAAAGTTTAAAAAGAGAAAAAAATATACAGAAAACCATTTTATAACATAAGAATTATGGGAAATTAAATTTTGTGATATGTTTTAAATAAGTGCTACATAAATTATGTTTATTAATTTTGTGGATAACTGTCCACACGTCATCTTGTACGCCTTACCTTCGTCATCCTCACCATCTCCGAGCTCATCGTCAGAGCAAATATTTAGAATGTTCACCAACATTTCAGTAACTATATATAAAAAGAAAGCGAATAAAAATTTATGATGATGACGATGCGATGGTTCATGTGAGGCATAATGTCATGGCCAACATGTGCTTCAAAATATTATCCCAGTCATTGGATAACACAACTCGGTACACATACTCAGGTTCCTGGGAGAGAATTCCATTATGTCGCGAATTACAAATTTGGTAATTGCAATTATATGTACTTTTGCAATGGAATGTATATACAATAACATCTCCGAATTACAAAATTGAGAATTACTATACAGTATGCCTGAACAAGCATGCACAGTTCATGTAATAAATATATCACGGCTGAAAATTATCGATATGTGTTGATTTAAACTTAGTTTTATGTCATTTTTTGGTTTAAATATTTTTTTTCTTAAATGATATAACATTTTATATTATTTTTGAAGACTTTTAAGTACAATTTTAAGTGTTTTAGTAGTTAAAAACGATCATTCGTAATGACGTCATCGTCGCAACTTGGGTTCGTAAAATCGAGAGTTCGTAATTGGGAGATGTTAACTGGAAGAAGGTGGGAAACATAATTTCATGTATGAATATTCCATTTGGCAAATTAGATTAGATATACCGAGTGATATAAAGTGAATACTGTTTTGAAATTTAAGGTAAGTTAAAACCGAAATGTCCACTAATTAATCTCAGATAAGGAAGTATAATACATACACCAAGTATTGAGATGCACACAATCGTGTTCGGATTAATATTTCAACATTAATTATGTCATGATCAGGAACCTGTCATTCTAAAACATTATCTAATAAGCCCATTCCCAAACTTCAATACACACAGTATACAATAATGTTGCATTTACCACACTCAAATAACATAAATATACCAACGACAATATTTAATGTTTCGTTTTCAACATTTCACCAGGAAATGAAAAAAATGAACATTCTGACAACGTAAGTACATGACAGATGTTGCCAGTAGTTTCTTTCAGTGAGAATATTGTCGATAAGGAGATGAGAATTACTCATAATCGCACTAGGAATATTGAATTGAAAAGAAGGTCAGGCTGCAATCTGTCACTACCGGGGGAATCTATGTTAACGAGAGATGCAAAAGAAAAACAGGAAGACAGAAATAAACAGAGGTGTGTAAAACCAAGGTTGATGTACAAAGACGCATAAGCTGCATTATACAATAATATTTAATGCATAAATTATGCATAAAAAAAATATAGATTTCACATCATATAAATCCCTGTCCACATTATCAAATTGCCTATATATAGTCATGATGTGATGTCATCATGACCATATTTATTCATGTCATATTTTTTTTTTGTCAACTAAATGCGTCTGGACAGGTCCTAAGAATAAAAAATAAATGTATTACCTTTCTCACCAACAAAAGGCAAAGACCATGTGAAAACATCCATAAAGTTAGGGAGCCAATAGGGGTGTGGGGAACAATTGAACTGTCGAATATTCATGACATTGTTCTCATATTTCAAAACAGCAGCTGCAAAAATAATCACAGTAAATCCATTATGAAATCACACAAAGTATATACATATTTGGAAATTCCACCAAGAGTTAAATATTAAAAATGTTTGCAAAAAAAAAAAAGAAGATTTTTATATACTGTAGTAATAGCACAAAATGAAAATGATTTTCCCTATCTGCTAAAACAATACCACGTATATTCTTACCGATAGACCAGGGTGACTTTTTATAAATGCCCTGTGTATGTCCCTCTACTTACAATGCCATTTTTGAGTCCTAAAGTTGGTTTTGGAGAATACTGCACATTTTCAATTTTCATTTATTCAAGATTGCCTCCAAAAATGGAGAGTGTATAAAAAAGCAAAACAAAACATGAAAATACATAAAATCATGTGCTTTGGAATGAGAAATTGATAGTAACAATAACAATTATTCAATGAAATCAATATCAATATCAGAGTAAACGCCCGATGCAAAGCCTTCAAAGACCATCCCCAGGTACAGTGTGCATATATTTTAATAGCAGTGGCTATTAATAATTTGAATAAAATAATTTGAATGAGAAAAGGTTCCCTGTCAATCTGTGGACAATTAGCCTTCCAGGCCTCATCAGTGCAGCTGGGGTTTAGACCCAAACGAAACGTTCGACCAGCTTAGGTAGGGTCCAAACTAGTCCCATGACCACTAATGATTACAGAGCCAAACCAAGGCAATATATATACACAGCCCAGGTGTGAATGCAAATAGTGGAATACAAGCTATGTGGCTCGGTTCCAGCAGATACAGAGAATATTTTGTCACTCTTAACGCGTCCTACGAAATTCTTACGAGACAGCACTAGTCCGTGAATTTGTGAACAAGATCGGAGATCTAAAGATGCAATCCCTACCGTGGCGGCCCGCTGGATCTCAATAGAGATTCTTTAATAATATATAAATTTTAAAAGGCAAATGGGAAAAACCCATAAAACAGCAAATGGCCACATAATGCAAAACTATCTAAAATTAAAACGGAACAGTAGAGAAAATCCCATTTTCATGTTATCTTTTCAAAAATTCACTATCAGCCGATTCAGGTCATCATTTGAGCATACTATCTAGCGACTTATTCAACATGCCATTAACTACATTTTATAGTGTCACAAGCAGATACGTGAACGCAGTATAATTCTCTTATCTAGAATGTTGGTAGTACTATTAGTATCTGGTTAATGAGTGAAGAATTTGGTCATGATGAAATATCCTAACAGAACTCGAACCCAGGACCCTAGGACAGGGAGGCAAATACCGTATCATTTATTCATTCAATTTATAAATTCATTTATTATTTAAGTATAATAATTTTACCAACCTACAATTGCATCATACCTTTATTATTGTACACATCCAAATAATTAGGAGCTGAAAATAGTGTGATTAGAACGGGAAAACCAGTGGTTTGGCTCTTCCTGTACATACGATATCTGTAAAAAAAAAATAAAATAAAATTTTAAATTAATTTAGGAAAAATGGATAAAAATTACTATTAGACAAAGATTTACAGCCATAATTAAGGAAATAATTTCACCATAACAGGATCTTTGAAGAGCTTATAAGAACATCGTATACAGCAATCAAGGAAAGAACTCAACTAGTTGGCCCAAACATTAACATGATTCTAGGCCAGCTAGCAGAACTGTTTGCATATAATTAGTAAGATTAAAATCATAATATCACATTTTACCTGGGCACAGAGTATTAAATATCAGGAATCAAATAAACACATTTTGTAATACCCAGCAGAGGGAAGTTCTACATTCAAACTTGAAATGATTACAAATTTTAATCTATGTTTAACTGGCTAAGACACAAGTATTTTTTATTATTTTAAAGAACATCTTCCTGTGGTCCATAAAAGAAACCAGAATCTTTTATCGTGCAAAAGCATGAATTACATGTCCTGTAGACCATAAGATGATTTCAAATGTAACAAAACAATTAAAAGATTATATGAAAAAGATTTTACTGTAAAGCTTTTATCCTATGTATCCCATTATTTGAATTTGAAAATGAAACCATGATGGAGTCAAAACATCATTCTTTATTAAGCATATTAAGCATATATTCCAAACATACACCAATTAATATGAGAGGCAAAATATTTGTGAACAAAATTTGCAAATATATGGTGTCCTTGATAGCTTCATTATCATTGCTCAGATCATCAAAATAGCTACAGTACTAGATATAAAGCTCATCTGAATGACCTACCAATGATAACATCACATGTCTTTGGGCATCAGGACACACTGAGGTAAAATGACTATGGCAAGCATGTCAGGAGCTCACCAAAGCAGCCTGGAAAACCACTGAGATATTATTAATACAAACACCCTTGCCAGGTCGAATTATTATTGGCCGTGTTTCCGCAGCAGAAAAATTATCCAATAAAAAGCCACCTTTGCGCAGTCTAGGTATGCACGTGATACAATGTTATTTCCTTTTGTCTACGACAGAGATACAGCCATGATTTTTATTTACACGTCATCTCTTGTGGAAAGTTTGTTTATAAATGATTATCATCAATACTTCGGTAGTAATATTTTGCTTGTAATTAAATAAAAAATCTATACACACCCAAGGTGCGCAGAAAATGAGGATAAAAAGATGATGAAGTAGCCCAAGGTAATGCACAATTATAAAGAATTGTTGGTCCATGTCAAGGGTCAAACAATATTGCATTCTGGAAAATTATCTGATAATCATTACAAATGAATGCAATACTTATTTGTTAATTGAATAATTATCGGAAGATTCAGTGTTGCAGAAAAATGGTCATACAAGCAATTTGTGATTAGGAACAACAGCAGGTGAGGAAGAAACTCAAAATAAAAATGCCCAAAAACAAATGTACATAAAAAAAACAAAAACAAAAACAAATCTTATGCAATCAGTCCCTTTATGATTCTGTTAGTGATAAATTAATGGGGGGGGGGGGACACGCTCATTCGAGTTCACATCCGCATGGTTCTTAATCTTGAAACAAGATTTCAAAATTTATAAAACAAGATATTAACTTCTAATAAGTTACATATCATAAACAATCCAGATTTTTGCAGATTTACAGATTATCAAATTTTCCTTGACAAAGAACTTTTGTATGCCAATATTTTAGTCATGATGTGCCTATATATGGTCATGATTTGATATCTTCATGACCACATTTAGGCATATCACATGTTTTTGTCCAATAAAATTTGATCAATATACTCTCTCCACTCCTTCGGGAAGAGTTCGCAATTCCGATAATATCTCCCGCGATCTTAGATGGAGGAAGATGATTTATTCCATTCTCCTCCTTCTCCACCTTACCAAAGCTTATCATGGAATTGACTCCAACACTACATAACATCTTCGTTATGCTAATTCCCAGCCTGCATCAAAGCTGGTCTATCCATACTACAGCTGAGCCGGCTCTTGGGTTTAACATGCGTTTACCAGCAGTTATTAATATCTAATTTATTCATCAAGATATACTATTGAGTATGAATTTATGATTCATACGGCGTGATAGACATACAGCTTGGTCATGTGTGTGTTTGCATAGGTAGTTAGTGTCGCTTCATTTACTTTCATCCATGGTGTGTGTAATAATATACGCATGTCGCTCCCAAATCGACAATAGCAACAACCACACGGGTGGTATATGAATGCTTATGAGAATTTAGAATATTAAAAATGCAGAGAGCATTGGCGTTTCAATCATGTCATCACATATTCAGGCAGAGTTACCCAAGGAAAGCTTTATGTGTTCGATGAGCTACAGTAAATGACAATTAAGTATTTTAAATTCGGTAGATATGTGCTATCATCCATCAACCTGCCCATGATGTAATAGCTGCAAGATACAGTGTAGATATTATTACATAAATATTTTGTTTAAAATCTTTTAAATTTTATCCATCAAGTATATCCAAATACCATTTGGGATAATGCTTGCATGTAATGTGAATTTAATGACTATTATACTGGCTTGTATACCGTATGCAGCTACTGAATGTACAGTAAGATGTTCAATTTTCAATAATAAATGATAATCTCATTACTATGATAAAAATTTGTATCACCCAATACAGGTAAGTGCTCCCTTACAAGGTCATTTTCTATTGCCATCAAAATTATACTGTATTATATGGCAATTTTATTTTCATTGATAGAAAGCTGAGAATTACAGAATTGTTTGCATAATATTTATTATCATTAACAATATAATTATTACCAATACTAATAATAACAATAATAATAATAAACAATAACAATATTAATAATAATAATAATAATAATAATAATAATAATAATAATAATTCAACAACAATAAATAATAATAACAATAAATAATAATAATAATAATAATAATAATAATAATAATAAAAATAACAATAATTATAATATTTAATAATAATAACACACTGCCAAGCATTAACACAGATATCTAGTATCAGCTTCAGTGAAGAAAATGTACTGCAAGTAGATGGAAACGTTGCACAGTACATATCAGTGTTCTTCCAAAGCTGTTTAATAGTTAATTTTGCCAGTAAAAATAGATGTAGGTAGAATTTTAAAAAATGTGTTGGTAGAATAAAAAAAAGCACTTATTAGGCCTAGGTAGCCTAGGCTCGTCTACTTTCAATAAACAAATATCATTCTAGTCCAGGCCTAGGCTATCATTATGTATTATTGTTTTTTGAAGCCATTTAACTCCACCTAAAAGTGGTAATACCACACGTTGCATGTGCTGAGCTGGCTCTATGGACAAATTTACCAGTAAAAATTTTTCTAGAATACTGCGTATAAATTATTGGTTTAATTTAAGAAAGAGTTTACTAATGTATACCTATAAAAACAGAAGAATATCAATAATGGATAAGGGGCATTCCACAGTATTTTTTTGTTGCGGACATTACACTTAAGAGAATTTAAAATTCTATATCTAGTAAACCACTGAAGGGAAACATTTTATTTTTTGGTCAATTATTGCTTACAGACTGAAGTTTAAGTCTGTGTTAAAAAAATGAAAAAAAATATTATAGTGTGACTGTAAAATCGAATTATGTCCGTGTTGCGGACATTACAGGATTGCGACATGACTTTTGACAACATAAATATAAATCAAAAATCCTGTGCTGTTTCTTGAAATATCGAATATTCCTTCATATATTACATATTTAGATAGTTCTTCTTGCCATACCAAAAAAAAAAAAAAAATAATGTAATACTTCGTTGTATATAAGCGATTATCTGCGTTGCGGACATTACATTTATAAATGTCCCGGACATTACAATTTTGTCTCACCTACAACAGAGCCATAAAAACAAGTGTAAATGAAAAAATAAAGTCAAAATATGCTTTCAAATACAGTAACCATTTATTTCAAGATCAATATCCATATGAGAAAGGCACAACTTAATTATTAACTATTAAAAAAATTAAGGTCCTTAACATTATGTTTGTCTGTAATAAATTTTGACACCTCATTTTATATCCTCGGCAGTAACTTATATATATATATATAATTGTTTAATAAGCTATAGTCTTTACAGTAAGTTTTAAAAAGTATTGTAGTATAAAGTATCTAAAATTGGGTTACAGTTTTAAAAATGCATTATCATGAAGAATAATTAAAGCATAAATCGATTTTCTATATCCATTAGTTGCCAATTACTGTACTGTAATTGTTGACGTTAGGTATTATCTGAAAGATATTTTGACACCATTGTTTTTGGCAATAACATTGTATATTTTGATTACATATATATATTGATAAGTATTGTAGTATGAATGATCTAAAATTGAGTTACAGTTCTAAAAATGCATCATGAAGAATAATTGAAACAAAATCAAATAAATTTTCTATACAGTAGTTACCAATTAATTATTGACATACAGTAGTTTGAATCCCGTGTGAATTATTGGCAACGAGTTAATTGGCTTCAATATCAATATCAAACACATATCGCCCCCTTGCATCCAAAAGTGGCATAGGGGGTTTCCCCTTCACACTATCCTTTGCTACCCATGATACATCAGGTACATTTGGGAATATAAAAGTTTTCTTATTTATGTTGCTTCTTAAAAAGCTAACCTCTAATTCCCATAGGTCAATGTTTAAAATTTGGCCTAAGAAGATATGTACATCTTTTTTAGTTGGGAATTCAACAAGTACAAAATCTCCAACTTTAAGATTGTCGTCAGCCTTTGTAATGGCAGGTTCAAGAGCCCTAGTTATCATCTTTACTTTATCCAATACCTGATTTTCTACAGAGAACTGAGAATTGTTGGCATAACCAATTTCACAGCTACTAACTGGTTTTACAAAATGCAAGTGATGAGTACCAGGTATGCTAGTGCATTCCTGCCAACGATCTTTGATGGCATCGCCAACCTCTTTAATCTGGTCACTATTAACATACAGAATATTAATCTTCTTGTTAAGAACCTTAGCAGCTTCAAAAAATTCTTTAGCATTTCCTATCACTAATTTCCCTTGCAGGACAGATCGCCAGACACTTCTTTTCACTTCTCCACCGATGCCATCAATTGCTCCTTTTCCGTGAGCCGTCTCGAAAAAGCTCCAATCTGCTTGGCAACCATAATCTTCTTCATGGAATAATAAATTGCAAAACATATATCGGTTTTTGAACTGGCTACCAGCTCCGTCTGACCAGTAGTGTACATGCTGAATTTCAAAAGGGAGTTTACCCTGTGCATCTTCTAGTATTACTTTGTTAAAACTGCAAACAGAAACCTTGTCATGTTTTAACTCATCCGATATTACTGAATATGAAATATGCTCAAGCGCATCATTTTCTCCTTTGTAGTATACAATCACTGTAAATATAGTAACGCTTTCATTTGACCAATGAGCTTGCATGATTTCATTTTGATATTTGATTGCATAATTTTCCGAAAAGTCCTCGTGGACTATGATTTCACCTTGCTTCAGATTTTCTTTCAGGAAACGTAGCTCTTTATGTTGCTTTTTTGCATTATAGACATGTCTGGTAAATGTCTGTAATCGTAGAGACAATTCAGTTTTTGCTTCATATATGTCACTTTCTTGTAGGACTTTGGATGTTTTACCATTTTCGGTGACCCACTGGTAGTACGATACCGGTAGCGATTCATCACACTCTTCGAAAAAGGGCTCAAGACAATGAATTCCACAATTTTCACAGCGGTGATCGATGCAATCTTCATTATCTATAGAGCAAACGATAGACTTCACTATGTCATCGGAATTATTGGGTAGACTGGGAACAGCTTTGTGGATTCCAGTAATCAGCATCTCAACATCCTCGTGATATTTACAAAGGCACACTTCGTGATCTTTGTGGCCTGTCAAAAAAACATGATATGGTCGTAGACTTGCAAACTTTGACAGACTGATTTTGGTTGTTGAGTTTTCAAGAAACAGTTGGTGTGCTTCTTTGATGTTCATCATTAGTAGTCGTTTCTGTTTGTGGATACGTCCATACACTGTCTTCACAGAGACATACTCTTTTTTCCCTGGGCACATGCGACTAATATCATCTTGTTCATAAAAGTCTATAACATTTTGGATTGTGTCTTCAGGTAAAGCATCACTTCGTTTCTTCCTTTCTGCTTCATTTCCATAAATACGCCTTTTGCATGGCAAAGTCAAAGCATTTGCTACAATCTTGCGTTTAGTAGGTGACATTCCTATTACCACCTCAGCAACAGCCTCGGCTGACTGGGCACCAGATTTTGGTAGGTGTTTCTTTAGGCGAGACACTGCTTTTCCTTTGCTTCTTTCATTAGAATATGACGACGATGCTACATTTGTTGCCACCATTTCCTTTTCAGATTCTTTCCGTTTCTTTGCACGATAAGCTTTCATATATAAACGATTTGCATTTTTCTTCCTTTGAATCTCAACATCGGACATCTGGGTTTTTTGCTTTTGTCTTTCTGCACGTTTTCTTCTTCTGTCATGCTCTTTGTATTCATTATAAGCTAACTGGTTGGTTTGAATTCTTTCTCTGTGTGCTCTAGACCGTTCTGTACTGGTCTTGGGAGCCATTTTTGTGTACATGCACCTCAAAGCATGTACACAATGTAACTAGTTCAGACATCTGAATTCATGATACACTGTCACCTAACTATTGAAAATAAACTATCTATTAATTAGTTTGTTCAAATGCAAATTTGGCTTCTGTTAGAATTGCTTATTTGTATAAATAGCCTTTTTGTTATACAGGTATTGGTGTTATTTTTCCCAGCAACACCCAAAAATTAAAATCTTAGTTTGTACATTTGCAAATTAAGACACTAACAAATCTACAAGCTTTGTAGCATCAAATTATTGTAAAAAAACTCCTAAAAATATACAAATGATGTGTAATAATCAAATATTTACTTTTTCACTTGCCAAAATTTAAACTGAAATATTGTTTTGATAGTAAAGTGTAATGTCCGGGACATAATGTAATGTCCGGGACAAAATTTTAATATGAAAATTATCATATATATATATATATTTTTTTTTTTTTTTAGATTTTGGTACATTTAGTATATATTAAATTAAAAGAGGAACTGAAATTTGAATAATTTTTTTGCACTATAACTATATAAAAACTTAAAAAAATGTACTAAAAATGTCCCGGACTTACATTTATGATATAAGACATGAATTATGAAATTAATATCTGAAGGAATTTATTAAATACCCATTACAAATTACAAAGAGTACATCTAATAAACATATCCAACTCAAAATTTTTATGAAAAATATTTTTTACAAAAAATACAAGCAATATTCTAATGTAATGTCCGCAACATAAAATTTGCATTTTCCATATTTAACGTAAAATATTTTCCAAAATATCAATAATTTTTATTTTTTTTTTTTGGTTCCATATAATTCAATTTATCTATTTTCTGAAAATGTCAAACATCATATATAAAACGCAATTTGAAAATTTTCAATGCATGTCGCAATTACTGTGGAATGCCCCATAACTAAGGCGAGACATTTTTCATACCTTATCTAGCAAACCTGTCACCTGACAATAATGATGATTTTAAATAAAAATTAAATTTTATTTTTGGTCAATTAGTGCCACTACGAAAAAATAAGAATTTCAGAAAAAAATAACTCTTTCTTTATTTTTATTATGTGCACCGCTGCCTTGGGAATCTCCAAAAATAAGGTGTGTATTTCTTCCTAATTACATAAATTTAAAGCATTTAGCCATCCAATTACTACACTGTTTACATTCAACAATAACATTTCATTTTCTCCTTCGTATGGATGTTCTGGCAAAACCATTTCCTAAATAAGAAAACAAAATTGTATATTTTTTTTTTCTGCCCTCCTCTGATAATCTTCAAAAGAATGTTCGTGAAACAAGGTATAAAAAAAAAGGTGTCACCTAATTAACAAATTAATGATTTTTTGAAAATACTTGTTACTCACCCAGCATCTTGTGCTTCATGTGCTCGTATGATAGACAATAAATTGTTCTGAGAAAGGAATTCACAGCAGGCCGCATAACTGTCAAAAAAAAAACAAACAAAAAAAAAAACTAGAAAATTACTTCTTATGATGTAAGATTTCCTTACCAATTAAATAAGAGATAATGGAAATTACATATTAATACCTTATCAATGTCAATAAAAAAAATTATCAATAAGATATAGCAAGTCATTATATTGCATACAAGTTCTGTATACTTAATTTGCATAATTTATGCCACAAACAGTGTGTCATTCTCTAGAGAAGAAAAAAATGCATAAATGTGTATGAGGACTCATAAAGATGGCGATACCATGGGATATATTACACTTAGATACCGGTTGAATGCAAGATGAAAAATCTCAACAGAAGGATCTATAGTACAGTGGATCGTGCTGTACTTAGTCATTTACTAATATCTTGTTAACTAATTATTGGAAGGCAAAAAATAGAAAGAACAATTTAAATTATTTATTGCCAATAACCATGATTCTCCCCATGTATTTCGGTTTGTAAAATGGAACTATTATTGGCATAAAGCTGGGAAATGGCCTTTTTGAAATCCTTTTAAACAGTAAAAAAAAAAAAAACCTTTGCCAAAAGAAATGAACATACTAAAGGATAAAATCCAACTTTAGATCTATATAGATCTTGGGTTAGTCGTGCATGCTTTGACAACAGGCTTTTTTGTCCATGTGAAAAAAATACATGATTTTTAAAAATTAATAAGTAAAACTAAATTGCTAAACAATAAATTCACAAAATAAATAATATGATTACTTTAAAAAGGATTTTGCTAAATACTAATTACATCAAATATATTCTCATTTCATTTTCAACCAAAATCTGTTAATAATAAATGAAAACACTAACTATAAATATGCAAATGGCCATTGAACATCAATACCACAGGAAGAAGATTTAGTATCATGACCACTGAATTTAATTTAAAGAATTTATTACATCCATACAAAAAAAGATATATACACAGGTAAAAACTAAAGCAGTTAAATATTCAATATATAATAAAATAATCAAAATATTTTAATTTCCAATGAGCTTAAAACACCATCTTCCAATGTTAGGAATCCTCCAATCAATTGTGCAGTTCTTGTCATACATTCATAATGGAAAAGATAAACATATCTGACCCGGTAACTGCTAGCTGTCAAAATCAATATAATAATACGCTAAGCAATCAAACAACTCTCGTCGTTTTATTTCTTGATTGCGAAAAGACACCAGAATTTCATACAGAGCATATCCATTTCAAAGATGCTCTTATTGGTAGATGCGTTGCTGTGACAATAATGGAAGGCGGGTCAACTCATCATGCCTTATCTGTCCAATATTTAATTTGATTTGTTGATACTAAAGCCACCTGATGTGCAGGTAAGACCGTGCTCTCGGTCTCTGCATAATATTAAGAAGCATTTACTCTATGATTTATTCCTAATATCACAAGTAAAGCCATGCCTGCATTTCTCAGAAAATCTCTTAACTTAATACACTAGGTTGAATGAACGATAAATTGGGAATTTAATACAGTGTACTCTTTAATTAAAGATCTCTTTAATTCCAAGACCTCTCAAAATTGAACACTTTTTCAAAGTATCAACAATTTTCACTTTTAACATAAAGAAACACTTCAAATGGATACCAAACCCACAGACTGCCCCAAATTTAAGGTCTAAATGTGGTGTCGAATTAATTGTTAATTGAGGTTGGGCAAATTTAACTTGTTCTTGACTCTGCGTGAAATGTCCAATGAAACCCAGATTTATTTTCACCAGGATTAAAATTAGAACCTTGCAATTTAAAGTGAATAAATTCCAATCAGTCTAAAAGTTATCATTAGCATTAGCATACATTAAATTTATCTCCATTTTATAACCAATCATGAGCCAAATAATTCATATTTCTGTCCCTATTCACTATCATTAGGTATCAATATTATAATTTCTATGCAATAGACACTTTGTCGACTAATGAAAAAATTTACTATTAGCGTATTGATATAAATTTTAATATATTGGCATCAACAACGCCAGGGAATACTAATTATATTCTTTGTAATAGTACTTTAGACTTGGCAAATTATTTCATTATGGAATAATATTGAATACTGGCAAATCAACAACTGTATCAATTAGTCTAGACAAGCATCTGAAATGAACAACTGTACCAAAGAGGCTAGCATTTTTCAGATTACTGTAGGAGGGGCATGCTCATTCTGTTGATTCACAGATGTCAGCATGTCAATTTATTTTTAACTTAACTAGGACAGGTGAAAATTAATATAAAGTCAGGTGTTACAATTAATTTACTACACTGTACAGTAATTCAGATCACAGGAATGATACAACCATAACACCAAATTGAACAAGTAGAACTATTATGACCAGTACAGTAGGTTAACAAATTACTATAGCTACAGTACACATTGGTATACCTACTGTAGATTGACCATTATGGCAATATGTAGCACAATAGTACAAATCAAATTAATTCATATTCTTGATTGAGTTGCAACCAACTGACTCCCAGTGGCAGATTCAA